AGCTTGTCATAATTGGTGTGGATGATTCCAATCTAATTGCTCGTCTTCGCGCTGCAAATTTCAGCAGTAAAACACAACCTACAGAAGTTGCAATTGCTGCCATATTACATGATTCCAATCCAATTGCTCCGCGCTGCAAATTTCAGCAGTAAAACACAACCTGCAGCAGCTGCACTTACTACCATATTACAGGAGTGGAGAGTATCAAAATTAAGGAGTGGGTATAAGGTGAGGCTTCACGCTGTGCACTTTGCCGGTTACACATTTTATTGTGTCAATAAAATGGTAGAGTTGATTGCACGTCATAGGTTGCATCATGGCTTAGGTGATGCATTGGTGTATGCTATCTACTTGAACAAGTGTATGGTTCCAGGGTAGGTTATCACTAAACTCAATTTAATAATGCTGATAATTTTTACTGTAAACCTAAAAGAGCATGGATGGTTGATAGCAGTTGCTTTAGATAAATTTGGTGAAGAAAGCTGCTAAAACTGTTTATTTGTACTTTAAGGTGGATAATTCTAGCTTCGACGAGTCCGACCATGTTAAGAAGTGTTGTTTTTCTTATATTTCACATGCTTCTGGAGATCCTTTTGATCACAGTAGTACTCTTGAGAGAATTCTTGGCATCCAATTATCTGAGACTATTGCCTACATTATGGCGTATCATGTGACTATTTCATTTGATAGAGAAGGAAATGACTCTACTAGTACCGCGACGGTTTTCAATATGGATCGGCCAGCATTTCCGTTGGCGAAAAATAGCCCACTTGTTCTTATCTTTTCATCAGGAATCGATGCGGAAAAAGAATGGAGTGAAAGGGGCATTGCAACAACTATTAACCATATTTGTGAGTTGGTATTAGAAAGTATAATAAATTTTCCTCATGTTGCTGAGATAGTTTATGGGACAGCCAATACTTCTAAGCTCAGAACAACGACATTAAGCTTGACTGACATCATTTGGTGCTTTGTCCTTTTGGATACATCTCTAATTACTACACATCTTTGCCATGTTATCTTGAACAAAGTGGTTCTTCTCCAGAAGTCAAGCAATTTTAATGAAACCAAGTCTACACTACTCCAAGCTGCCAACCAAACTATGATATTGTTCCTAATGGTTTTTGCATGTCTTAGTCATGGAGTTAGTTCTCAAAGTTTCCCTCTTGACTTGAACCTTGAGGACAAGGTTCTTTTTGTGGGCGGGAGTATTGTTGTGAACCAAGATAACTCAAGTAATGTGTATGGGCCAAATATCTGGACAGAGGCTATTGGGCCGGGGGCTAAACCGCGAAGAGGTCCAAGATTTAGAAAGCCCAACAAGAGATTTGTATGGGATCGAGATTAAAAAAGCACGTGACTAAGTGAATAAAAGGGGTTATCGTCTGGGTATGGAAGATTAGCCAAAATGTTATGTGAAAAGCTGTACTTCTCGTCTCTTTCTGCCTAAACTTCTCATCTCCTTCTATGGTGTATTTCTGTCCTCTCATCTCTCTATGTTATCCCTTATTGTTTCATTGAATCAATATAGTTAGTTGGTTTGGTTGTTATTCCGTTTGTTACAGCATCCAAAGAGAACCAACATCTAACTCTTTCAAAATTTCATGTCCCTTTGTGGATATCCGATAACTCTATTAAATTTTTAGCAATTGGAGAAAACAGTAGTAAATCTTTTGTGCTTGTTTCAATGATAATCTTTAGATTCTTTAAATTATTACTACTATTCCTTCCTCGATAAATTCTCATAACATTCTTATAATTCCCATTATCAATTAATTTCTTATCCCATAACTACCAAAATGCCCTTCAAAAGCATATTTCTATTGACAATATCACATTGAAGAAATGATAGATATCGAAAATAAAAGAATAAGAATCATGATAAATTCCATGTACTCTTTTTCTTTTCCAATTTCAACTTCATGATAGTCTTTTTTTTCCGCAACCAAATATTGTCCAAATGCCAAATAAACATATGGATCAGAAGACTCAGCAGTTGAAATTAAGGAGAGATGTTGGCATAGTGTTGAAGCAATTCTCACCATACAATTTGCAAAGTCTATATTCAGGAATGCAATGAGCACCCATTTTCTCATACAAATGAATACTTTCTTCATTCCAATCAGCCACAAGCCAATCAACCATCCCCATTCCCATTTTCGCATCCTGCAATGCAACAGCAGAAAATAACAATTTTCCAAGCCTCATCCCCCTATAACACTTCCTTACAAACATTTGATCTAAATATAAACCAGGTTTCTCAAAGAAACCGTTGTAGCTTGGAAAAACCAGCACATGACCCGCTACGTAAATATCTGGACCTGAAAGTTTCAAATTCCGGGTCGAAAATTGGAGTCTCAAGATTGATATTATTCTTGGTGACAGGGCTGAAACTGAGGTGTTGGGCCATGGTACTAGGAAATGGGTTGGGAGAAATTTCTAGGATGAGGGCAGTGAAAGAATGGAAAGGTGGGAATTTGAATAAGGTGTTGGAAAGAGAGGTCTCTGTAGTAGTGAACACATGTGATAGGCCATGGTAATTTGCCATTTGAGAAACGAGTTTGTGAAGATTTGGCACGTCAGGCTCCGCAACAAGGCGGATTCTGGCGGAGATTTGGCGGCTGAAGGTGGTGGTTTTTTCTTGTTCCATATGTATTGCCAATTGCAATGGTTGTGGACTTTGTAGCTAGGTAAAGGGTATTTATAGGAAAAGAGAAGGTTTGCATGGCAATTCCTTTCTTAGAATCTGATTATACTTTGTAATAGTAAATGATTAGATTATGTGACAGCTGATATATTTCATTTTTGGCCATGCTAGTTTACATAGAATTTTGTATTAGCGAATTAAAGAAATTGAGATGAACCATAACGTCCACTGGACATTAGCAGTAACAAAATGACAAGTTAAAATACTAATAACTGGGTTCTAAATCTAATATTTGTACAAATTTAATAATTTCTTACAAAACAAAAACGCTATTTGAGCAAAAAGCTACTTAGTTCGACTGAACTTATACTCAGCTTCTAGCTCCGTCCCGGATAACCTAGAATAAATGGTAAAGTAACTTGTCATAATAACAAATTAAATTATACTGTGACATTAAAAAATCATTACACTACCACTGTGTATAACTGAAATCCATAGTAATATCATATAGTAAGTGAGTTTTTCTCTACTCCCTCAGTTCCGGTTTATGAACCTATTCCCTTTTTGGTCCGTTCCAAAAAGAATGATCCCTTTTTAAATTCGATAACAATTTAACTAAAACTTACAGTTCTATTTTTAATGAGAAACTTTTATAACCACACAAATACTATGGACCCCTTTTTGATTTTAGGACCACAAATTCCAAAAGTCTTCATTTTTTCTTAAACTTTGTGCCCAGTCAAACAGGTTCACATAAATTGGAACGGAGGGAGTATTACTTTTTTTTTTCTTATACAATGTTGTTTTCAAAAGACGTTTATATTAAGGCAAAACCATATTAATTGGGAATTTGGGATTGAGGGAGTACTTGACCCGCTATATGTAGTGGTGTACAAACCGAACCGAAAAACTGCACCAAACCGAAAAGTCAAACCAAACTGATTAAAAAATCCGATTAGATTTGGTTTGATTTAGTTTGGCATTGAGTAAAAAAACTCGAACCAAACCGACATATAAATATATAAGTTTTATAGTATATACTTTTAAGACTTTATATAGAATTTTCTTTTAAGAATGTCTAGAAATATTTGGGATTCTCTTATGGGATGTAATACTTAATAGAATATATGATCACTTTCTTATCAAGCAATGTGTCAATCTCTTTGTCTTCCATTTTCATACGTTAAGATCTATCAAATTCGTATATCTTTTTCAAATTGAAGTAGTATTTCGATAATTTAAAATTAAATAGAACATAAATTAGGTATCATATTAATTTTTACGTTTAATTATTAAATTCGGTTAAAATTGAAAGTGCCCATCAAGAAAAATTATTGTGAAACGACAAAAAATAACTACTATTACGTGGTACTACTAAGAAAGTTCTCACAAAAGAATATTTTAATAGATCAATATTTATTAATTTTTACTAAACATATACTTACTTATAAAAAATTTAACAAAGTAAGATTGAAATAATATTCATGTAAAAAAAAAAAACGAAAACCCGAAAAACCCGAACAAATCCAAACCGATATAGTTGATTTGGTTTGATTTTGATAGAAACTGAACCAACTCGATCCATGTACACCCCAACTATATGAATCCTCTATACCTATTACACTATTTAGGCCCTTTCATTCTAGCAGTGGTAAATAGCACAAGTAAAAGAGAAAAAGTTTAGTCTTAGGCAAGTACTTGTACAGCATGAGAGATTAGAGGTTACACATTACGCGTTCCAACTGTGTTCTCTAAATCTTGGTGAAAAATCAATCAACATGGTTAACTTGGAACTGAAGCTATAACACCTGCAAGTCAGAGATATGACATTTTTCTCACATGAAATATGATATGCTAAAAAGAAAAATATAAAGAGGAGCAATGGAAAAATTATTAAAATTTTGTGGCTTAAAGGGGAAAATTATAATTAAGGAAGAAGAATTAGTAGCGTTACAATGAAAAACACATCTAGTATTTGGTTTCTGAAAAACAATTTATTTCTATTTGATCAACATTAAACCCTTCAAAGATCTCATTCCTATAATTCAGTAATAGTATGATCCACGTTTATACTATCTGCAGATAGAACAAGCCTATGATGTATGACTGAATTCAAAGAAAATGTGTTGGCTAACTGAACAAAACAATTACCTATGCTAGTCTGGTGTTAAATTGATATATCCTATCCACACAAAATCACCAAAAATGTCCTTGGTAATGTTCATCAACTAAAAAATCTGTGTAAATGCACGTCTTCACTGAACTGATTTTCTTTACTCAAAAAACAATTTACTACATGTTTGTAAAAAATATTTCCTTGATCTCAACTCCTAAGAATCACTTTTTTTTGTTATGTGCATCCGGCTCAGTGGCTTGCGAAGAAATTCCACTCAGTAGCCATATCAAAGCAACACCAATTAGGGCGCCCGAGAGATGTGCAATGTGATTAACATTTTGTAGGGCAGACCCTCCACGAATTCCTCCCGCTAATCCTGTTGAAGCTTGGGCTGCTTCCATCACCTGATATACCCAATGCCAGAGGGAACAGAGGTCAAGTTCCTTCAATAAAAAATTTAAATTGAACCTGGGGACCAATAAGCAGCATTCATTGAATTTATTATCATCACTAGGAGTAGTTGGTTTACCAGATACAAAGAGAGCACTCCCCGTCAACCCGAGTTCTAAAAAAGATATAATTTTGTTGATAGAGCTTTTGGCTCTTTTCTTCTATAGGTTACTCCTTATACAAGTGAACAAAACTGAATTTGGGATCTCTCGCTTCCCCCTCCCTCATTTCCATTCCTCCGCTATTACAGACTCAGGTTTAAGTCATACTTTTAGGACCAGAAATGCGACTTCACTTCTTGGTTTATGAAATAAAGCGGGATTACCAGTCAATATTGAATTCATACTCCCACTGATGTCAATCGCAAGGTATCATATGACCAACAGTTGGCAAATATTAGAGATCTATTCTACGGTCTCTTTACCTCAACTTTTGGTAATGAATCCATAATCTATCATCCTCAAGGAATTTCATTTGAAACCAAACATATCATCGAGTGAACTATCAAGAAAACTAAATAACAAATAGCATGACTTAAAACCTTTCCACATTTTAATAATAGTCATGTAAAATAAAATAAAATAAAAAAGATACCGTTATATTGTTATAATGTCACAGCCTTGTGAAAACAATGGATCTAGAATCTCATGTTGAAGAGCAAATGTGTTTCTAACCCATTAAATTGGGAAACTACTTAATCTTTTGTGCTATAACCCTTGTATATATATTTAGTCACCCTAGTAGACTGCCTTGTCCAACAATTAAGCTATATCATGACAGGAATTTGACATGACTTGAATAAGTAAAAAGGTCGAGTAAGATCAATTAGGTTTCAATAAGAAGGAAAGTGAAGAGTGGATACCCTTTCTATAACAAACTGGCCCAATACAAGTACTTCAAGAATCTTCCTCCAGTCCCAAGACATCTGCAGTAAAAATCCAGGGGATTAGACTAATTACCAATCAAGTGCAACAGTATACATCTGAGTATGCAAATCTACACGTGTAAACATTGACAAAAAACTGAGGCACATAAATAAATGCAATAAAAAGCAAGATGCAGAAAACACCTTCACAAGTACACTAATAGCAAAGAGTCCAAACACTGCACCAGATGAACCAACAGAGACAGCATTTCTTGGCAGAATCAGCCACGAGACCAGGTTAGCTCCAGCTCCAGTTACTATATAAGAAAGCCACAATCCAAAGTTTCCTTCCTCCTCTTCAACGAGTTTTCCTGGAAAGTTAAAATAGGTTAACATCTATGTTTATAATCTGTTATCATGTATAGTGAAATTTTATCCTTAAGTATAACAGGAAACAGAAGTCTCACCAAAAATATACAGAAAGAAAAGGTTGCTTGAGAGGTGGTTCCTGTTGATGAAGTTACAGATTAAAAACAAAAATACTATTAGAAAACATAAGTGATAAACAGACAAGAGAGGCGAGTGATAACTCCGCTGCATTATGAATATTTCTCTTTGAATTTCTAGTATTTGCAAGAAGAACTTAAGTACTCAATGTTCTCACCAGTTAAAATGACAGAATGTTGCAGTCACAAACTGGTACCAAGCAGGCCAATTGTGGTAAAAGTATAATACTTTTACTGCCCGAACCTGATACAAACACTTTATCTATTAGATCTCTTCATTCAAGCATACAAGAGTAACACTATCTTCACAGAATCCAGGTGGATAACACACTTCAGATGGCCGAGCGCCACTATATGTGTTCAATTGCTGATCTTTACTCATGCCACCCCAACCACTCATGTTCATATTGCACTCACCAACCCTGGTCCACCTCACTAGGGTTAGGTTCATTTTTAATAGTGAAGATGAATAAAAAAAGAATTATTAATATATGTTGTGCCAATTATCCTTGTGCCATTGAGTTAAAGAAATACAACGAAAGCTGCAATAAGGAGGTAAAAAGATTTCAAACCTGGAAGACATGATCTGCTACGTATATTCCAAGGTTAATAAGTAGAATCCAGAATATCCCGTTGACACGCTTCTCTGGCTTCTTCCCCTCGGGCTTCAGAATTTCCAGCTGTGAGGTCATATCTAATAAGGTGTCATTCTTCAGACATATTGTTACATCCAAATTAGCAGCTTAATCAACAACAACAACAACAACAAACCCAGTGTAATCCTACAAGTGGGGTCTTGGGAGGGTAATGTATACGCAGACCTTATCCCTACCTTGTGAAGTTAGAGAGGTTGTTTCCGATAGACCCTCGGCTCAAGGAACAGTGAAAAGGAAGCAACCAACAATAATAACAACAAGAAAACAGACACGACGTGTAATAACAAAGATCTAGAGATAAGAAATACAAGAATAGTACTAATACTACTGGTAAGAATGACAAGTGTAATAACAAAGATCAAGGAACAAGAAAATATAAGAAAATTACCTATACTACCGGCAAGACTAGG